TTGTGTTTTTGAGTTGCCTCTTAATTCGCACAGCCTGCATTCCCCCTGCTATTCATGAGAATATAAATCATGGCACCAGTTGGCAGCGTTTTGTCCAGTTGGGTTTATCTTGCCTCTAAAAGTAGCAAAACTTCCTCAGCACATTATTTCAATGTGTTAGTGACCCAAAATAAATTTTAATTTTAGTCTGTTTTTAAAGAATGTTTTCTAAAAATTGTCAAATCTCAGATAAATTTAAAATTGGGACTTGTCAGTCTGTTTTCCTTGTTTGTTTTTTTATATTTATTGTAAGCCAGTGACATGCAAATTGTGTTTTAAACATTGCTCAGTGGTTTGTGGTATGCACATCAGTGGGCTTGAAAATGAAATTTGGTATCTGGGTGTATACCTGCCTTCAATTGTTTACTTAATCTTCTCAATGCATTGTGTTGCAATGCATCTTCCATCTTCATTGTTTTCTCAGTGCATCTTCTAATTCTGTTAACTCATACAATTTCATTAAAATTAATTTAAAATGTGTCACATTACATTTAAACATTACAAGCGTAAGTTGAATGGTTTGTCATGGTGGCTTCTGAATCTTCTGTCTATAGCTAGATTTTCTTTATCTGGAATCTGCTTTCTAGTCAGTTGTGGGTAGCAGGGAGAATGTATGGCTTTTCTCTAATCAGTTATAACATTTAAATACTGTCATAAGTTTGTTTGTCTGAGTCACTCCTACTAATTTTCTTTTAATTATACTCTACTATTAATAATTTTAACCTCACACACCTATGTTGAGTAATTTTGAATGTCACATAAATTTTAACCTTCACATTTTCCAGTGTTTCAGTCCTCTTGCCATAAGCAGACATCATTACTTTCCTTCATTAATAGTACTAACTAAAGATTTTAACATTCATAACTAATTGGCATATAAAATTGTGTAAATGAAAATATACTACTGGTCAGGGGTAAATTGACTTTGAAAAATTCCACCTTCCCCTTTCAGTGCATACCACAAACCATGTTGCAAAATCTGAAAACATTGACAACACTGTCCCACCTGCCAACCTATCAGATCTGTCAGCAACGGGAAACCGCGTGCGGACATACACGTATTGGCCTGCAACAAGCTCTGTTAATGTGTTTGAGCTAGCCAGGGCAGGGTTTGTGTTTACTGGAATGGATGATATAGTAAAATGCTACAAGTGTCAGGGCACCCTTAAAAAGTGGAAACCCGGAGATGATCCTTTGGAGGGTCACAAAGAATTCTACCCTGATTGCCCGCATGTCGTTGCCCTTGATGCTATTAAAAAGTCAATTAACACTGAAACCCAACTGGAAGACCTGCTATCTGTGTGCGATGGAGTAGGTTATCGTCTACGGCAATTGCACACCATCCAGAGTAAGGCATCAGGAGTAGAGCCAGGTAGGGAAGCTGTCTGTGACACTGGGGAAACTTAAGAGTGTGTCAATAAACCCTCAGTAATGAGTGCAGGTGTTCCAAGTTTGCTGTTTGTCACCTCAAGGGGTCTCAGATTTTTGTCAAACCCAAATCAATTAAGATTTCCATTAAAAAAAAATTGACAAATTTGATTTCATCTATCCAATGTAAAAGAAATAATGTTATCCAGATAAAATTTGTGTGTGCTGGAAAAAAAACATGTATTTTTTTTATAAATACAAAAAACATACAATCTTTAGTGTAACTTCCAGATTAAAGGTGTGTAAATTCTTGGGGGTATAGAGAGTACTCTGTAAACAAGCAAATTTGGACCTTCTGAATTCCACCACTATTTTTAAAATATGTATCATTTTACCAACAGCTAAGAAGCATCTGACAGAACTGCAAAAGAGACTCGACACTACCGAGCGTACCATGCACCTTGTTATGAAACAAATGGAAGCTGTGACAAAGTGCCTGGCCAAGACACTCGCTGATGACCCAGCCATGAGTGGAGATAAATCATTGGCTGAAATCACAGAGGGGCTTGTAAACTTAAAGGAGAGCAATGTTTAAAGACCTCACAAAAATACAGAGCACTTGCACTTCTTCATACTATATTTATGGAAAAATCACAATATTAAATTATCTAGAAAATGACATTTGGAAGAAAAAAAATTGGGGCCAATGTGCAAAGTGTACATGTATGATTTCATAAATGAACTGAATTTGTTCAAGATTAATACTGGAGGAGTGTATGAACAGCTCTGTAGCAGCCTGCTACATGATGCAGCAACCGTGTTACAGATCGACAAAAGTTTTGCTTTGAATGCCAGTAAAAGTTTTTATTAGAATAAAAAATTTTTTATTGCTGTGTGGTAATTTCATATACACTGTTAACTACCAGAACTAAACAATGGGCGAACAGAAGTAATTTGCTTGGAGAGCAATTTTTACTGCTTGGTGAATTTCTAGTAAGGAACTAGTCTAAAAATTGAAAAAAAAAAGTTTGAGAATATTAGTGACAAATATTTTACAGCTTTTGTTGATAGTGGTTCTGTACAGTGGTGGTTAACTATTTATTTATGCACTTGGAAACAATTTATTTATATCCCTAGGTAAAATGTAATTGTTTATTCTTGAAAATAGGCAATGAATATGAATTGAATAAATTATTTATTATTTAATGAATTGAAGTAGGAACTTTAGTCTGGCAGTTTTGTAAAATCACGAAATCTGTTTTTACAGTGATGTTTATTCCTTAGAGTTAAGAAATGATTACCAGGAACATTTTATCAAACATAGATATGTCGTCAACAAAGGTAATTGAACTTAACCGGTTATGACATCATGTGAAATAACATACAGATGATTCAATTTCTTATACGATAGGCTTGATCTCTTTCTTTTTAAATCCAAGTCTGGTTTTGGGCTAGCACATGTTAATGAAAATAAAACTTCCTTAAATTATCTTCTTCTTGTAGTATATATCCGAGACAATAATTATTGAAACTTTTATTGGCTTGACTTGTGTATAGCAGCGAGTTCTGAGTTTTCCCTGACTGGTTTCTGTAAAGGACAAGACTTGGATATTGTTGTTCCACCCCACCAAGTTCTTTCCCCTGCACTTATTTACCAGACTCATTTCCTTCACATTACTGGTGCTAGCCTGATTATCAAGCCTTCCTAAAGGGAAGTGAGAGGGGAGAACCTTTCCTCCCCCTGTACTTTGGAAAAACCCGACACTTGGGCTATATGAGTACCCATTTATATAGTACTTTCAGGGGTAGTGAGAGTGGAAGGCATGTTGTTGTAATGGTTCTTTAGCATTTTGGACCCAACAGCAATCATTTCTCACAGTGCCTTTCTCCTCCCAAGAAAATGAATTGGTACCATCAAACCATAAGTCACATAGGCAGTGGGGCTAGCTGGGACTCTCTTTGCTATCTTCAATCCTCAGCGGGGGGTGAGGGGGTGGGGGTGGCGAGGGGTGGGGGCATGGGGCATTCACTTCGCTCTCCACCAAACTCTATTTCACAAGATTTTCTTGGCCTCACCAAGACAGATTCTATGTTTGCAGTTCTCCGGCACCTCCATGACTGCTAAGGTTGCACCATTATTGATGAAGACTTGACTAGTGAGCCATTAAATGCAGAGATCGAAACTTAAGGCCCTGCCAACACAATATTAGAACAAGGCTATCCTCTCAAGCTGTGTTACGCTTCGCTATAGTCTGAGGCACAGTCACCCTTTTGTAACTGCACCTCTGATGCTCCGAGGGGAATAAAAGTCTCATGATCATGGTTACCATAAAGGTGGAGTGGCAGTCACTAACCCATACTGGGTTATTGGATGATTCAAGCTAAGGAAATGGACTGTTCTTTTTAACTACAAATTAAACTTTGCATCTGGGAGGGGTGGTGAAACCTTTCATATGTTTATCACAATCATATTAATACTGTCTGATGGCCTCATCAACTTTCTCTATTGAAAATCAATGTTTATTGCTTTTCATAATACACCGTACAGATCTCAAAATAGTACAATGTTGAATGTAACATTTGAAAAATATATATTTATTTCTTAGCTGTTTGTTTATCTTCTATTTATTCATTTTTTGGTAGTAATAAACTAATATATATTATTGTATACTTTATGGCATTTTAAAAAATACACTATTAACATGTAATTTTGGACAGAAACAAACACTTTTTTCTCACATACAACTGCAATAAAAATCACTGCCAAATATCACCAAGGGAAAGATTTCTATGCTATGTATATTTAAAGCTTAGGGACCAGTGGGTTCAGACCAAGACTTGTTCTAAATGCAAGGCAGACTTGATAAACAAAAACTCTGGTGTGCGACTGTTTCAAGTTTTTCAA